ACGTTGTTCGTGGTTAGAAAATAAACATACAAAGTGCCTAGTCAACAGCATATGCTCAATAAGTAAATACCACCATTGCCACCATTGCAACCTCTCTTTATTTATTTTGTTAAGTACACTGCAATTTCTAACTGTTTATGCAGCCAGTGTATCATGGAACCTCATAGCAGCCTAGTGGGTTAATGTAGGATAGTAGTGTCTACCCCCTTTTACAGATGAGGAAACTGGAGACCAAAGAGGTAAAATGACTTGCCTGGTTCACATATATCACAAGGAGCAAAGATGACATTTTACAGCTATCTTCAATTGTACAGCCTATTCTCTTGTGTGTCTTATTTCTTATGTGCACCCTACCCTCAGTGCCTAGCAAAGGACCATGAACAGATAGACATTCACAGAATTTCAGTTTCTGAATTGATTTTTTCATAGGCTAGGGCCTCTGCTTTCTCTTTTCCCCCCATGCCTCTCTAAGAGAATTCTTTCCCACTGTAAACATCCCAAATTGCAAATATTTTTTCCACACCCCATTCAGATGCCTGTTTGGGCCATAGTGGGAAACCCATCCCAGTTTCAAAGGCGTGTCAAGGGCCCTTCTGCTGTCAGGATTAGGTAGTTAGAGACCAACAGAGGCTGCTAACGTTGCTAATTGAACAGAAGCTGTGGCTGCTGCCCCCTGCCCCCCCCCCCATGCGCTGTCCATGGTCCTGGAAGGATCACCTCTGAGCTACAAGGGCAATAAAAACCTTGTTTTTGCTACAGTCTTCAACCTTGGCCAGCAGATACACTGGAAATAGGTTCTGGTTTGAGAAGCTAGTTGATAATTCCCTGTGAATTGGTCTGTCATGCTTTTTAAGGTTTGTGTGTTCATGGAAAACAGGTTTTAAATTTGCTTTGTGTATGGATGTGCTCTCTGACTTCCCCCTCAACTCCTCCAAAATGTCACAGATGACTTTCCTTGGATTTACCAATTTGCAGGATTAATGTGCTTCTCTCTAGACACCTGTGCCCTAGATAGATTCCAGCCGGAATAGCTGTATGCATTCCTAAATTCTGACCTGTTTTGCAGGCAAAGGAGGCCTTGATTTTAGGTCACCCCCGATGGGGGCATTCAGCATGCGAGCTAACTCTCGGCCCTGTTTTATCATGCAGTTGTGTGGAGGAGTTCAAGCTGGCTCCTGATGGAAAATCCTGCCTAATGCTCTCAGATGTCTGTGAGGGCCCCAAGTGCCTCAAACCTGATTCCAAGTTCAACAACACCCTCTTTGGAGAGATGCTACATGGTTACAACAACCGGACCCAGCATGTGAACCAAGGCCAAGTCTTCCAGATGACCTTTAGGTATGGGACAGACACCTGCACTTCACTCGTCAAGTCACTGACCCGAAATCTGGGCAGGGGGAGGAAGCCATGGGCACCATGGGATAGAGGTCTATTACACTGGTCAGCATCTCCCCCAAATCACTAATGCCTATGCATGAAGCATCAGCAGTCAGCAAAGTCCATTCCCTGAAGTTCCTTTTCCACTGACCTAGCCTTTGTTTATCCCACCCCCCCATTTTCTAACTCTATCCACATATTTGCAATTCAGTCTTAAATCATCCTGTAAGTACAGTTAATGGAATTTCTAATGTGATTAATCTTTCCGTCTATTAAAAATAAGTACCTTATGTAGGCTATTCAGGCAGTTCAAAAATAAAGACATTTAATGAATGAGAAAATAAATTTTCTATCACCCAGAAATAGCCAGAATTAACATTTTCTTGAACATTCTCAAAACACCTCTCTCTCTCTTTCCCCCTCTATCTGTGTATCAGTGTACACACACACACACACACACACACACACACACACACACAC